GTTTCTCTGTGGGAATACATTTCTACAAAGCTGACGGTCCAGGGGCCTTGTCACTGGCCACTGGTCTAGTGGCTAGGATTCAGTGCTCTCACTGCAGTGGCCTGACTTCAATCTCTGGCTGGGAACCAAAATCCTGCTTCAAGCCGCTGAAGGTGGAGGTCACCTAAGATCAAAAAGAGGCAGGAGGAATCCTGGGCAGGCAAACCCAATAGCAGTCCAGTGCAGACCGATGTCCCAAAGCTCCCCACTTGACTCTTTTATCCTTAGACTCTTGGATGTGGGTTAGGGAGAGTCCTAGGGAGGGAAAGAGCTCAAGCCATACCATAGATTGAAGAAGGGTTAGTAGAGGGGGGTCAGGGTGTGAAAAAGGGAGAGATGTTAATAGTGACCATCAGGGCCTTATAGGTACAGGAAGAGGTGAGTCTTTATCCTGGGAGCAGTGGGAAGCCATTCAAAACTTTTCAAGCAGGAGCATGGCTTGATTGGATGTACAAAAATAAAATTACCCCGGCAGCTTTATTGTGACAAATGGATCGGTTGTGAGTCCAGAGAAGGAAGAGATTTATGGTTAGCAAAACGGGACAGAGAAGTAGTTTCTTCACAGAACTGGATCTTTTTTTTTTTTTTTTTTTTTGGCTGTGCTGAGTCTTTGTTGTGGCACAGGCTTAGCTGGCCCACAGCATGTGGGATCTTAGTTCCCCGACCAGGAATCGAACCCACCTCCCCTGCACTGGAAGACGGACTCTGAACCACTGGACCACCACGGAAGTCCCTCAGAACCGGCTCTTGAAGGACGCATTTGACAGGGAGAGAACGGGGAAGCGCATTCTCAGCAGAGGGAACAGCGTGTGTAACAGTTTGCCTTTGGGGAAGGCAAGAGAAAAATCCAAAGGTCAGTGACCCTTGGACCTCTACATGCCCCACGTGCCCAGCACAATCCCTCAGGCCTCTACTCAAATGTCACCTGCTTCTAAAAGCCATCCCTGAACAGTCCATTTAAAGAGTCATCTCATCCCTTTTCTCTGCTTTATTCTTCACAACAATTAACGCTGCCTGAAGTTATGCCACACATCTCGACAAATTTAGCACTGTAGTTAAGCTAACAGAGTATGAATCCAGATGGTCCTTGTTCACATCCCAGCTCTACTCCTTGCTATGTGCCCTTCTGTTGCTTAATCTCTGTTTGTTACAATTTGGCGATAATAATAGTACCGGTCTCACAGGGCTTTGTGAGATAGATGAATTCGGGTGTGTACCAATGTTCTCACATGATCTGCATTTCCACTTCTCCCGAAGCATCTCAATAACCTACTAACATACCATTTTCTCTAGCGATTTGTGTTCATCATTGTTATTAATAGTCAATCTCCCCCCATCCAATTATAAGCTCTATTTTGTTTCCCATTGTATCTCCAGTGCCTAGAACAGTGTCCGGTGCAAAGTAAGCCCTGAGCAAGAAAGATGAAAGAATAAAAATGGCAGACTGGCTACTGGGGCCGGTGCTTCATCACGCTTCATTGTTGCTATGGTGACAGTGGAGCCTGCCCGACGAGTCTGAGATTCAGTAACCTTGTTTCTATCCGGCTCACCCATTGGCCACCTGTGTCTCCAGCTGTTGCAGCCAGAAAACTACAACTCCCGGCAGGCTGAGCGCCTCCAACGCGGCCCGCTAAGCGTGGGCGCCTGCGCAGTAGAATCTGCCACCCGACATTCCCCCGGAGTTTGTACCTGCTGCAGGGAGCTTAGTCGGATGGGGGCAGAAGAATTGCTCTCGCTGAGCATTGTGGGGCTCCCTAGTCTCTCCCGGCTCTCTCGGGTCCGAAGGGTCTGGGTCCCAGAACAGCCATCTCCGCGTGGGGTGGTGGTGTGGAGGAGACCTCTCCGGTTTCCATGGTGATGGGCCAGGCTAGGCGCACGTGATGGCTGCGAGTGCGTTGCCATGGTAACCCGGGAGCGGAAGGGGGCGGGGTGAGATGAAGGTGTCTATGGACTGTCTTAGGAGGAAATAGAGTAACTGCAGAGGAACTGAGATGCTCATGGAGGAACGGAGAGTGTGATGGGGGAATCGGTGTGACATAGGCGGTGTTGGGGAGATACTAAGGGATTGGGAGTGTTTTGGTGAATTCATATGTAAAAGGAACCGAGAATTGGGTTGTTCGAACATTTGTACAGTTGTTGCAGGATTCTTATAGGGGCTAGTGGAAGCTTGTAGGGAACACTGAGATGTTTTGGGAGAGTGGGGGAATTATAAGAAGAGTTTGATGTTTTGAGGTGTAATGGGAAGTTGTATAGCTATGTTGTCCAATACCCTAGCAGGTAGCCACATGTGGCTAAAGTAAATTAATTAAAGTGAAATACAATTAAAAATTCAGTTCCTCAGTCACACTCACTCCATTTCAAATACTCAATGGCTCCACTGTATTGGACACTGAAGATCTACAACATTTCCATCATCGGAGAAAGTTCTGTTGGCCAGTGCTGATATATAGGGTGAATTGGGATGTTATGGCGAATGTGGAGTTTCCCGGTTCCTAACTGTCCAGCCATATCTCTTATCACTTGCCCTCCTGCCTCACCTACAGCGGGCTCCACCCCGTTCCCCAAACAGGACCAGCTTAATCCAATTTTTGCCCCTGCCGTTCCCTGCCTGGATTGCCCATCCAACTCTGTACCTTTCAGACTTAAATGTCACCTCCCAGAAGAGGATCCCCTGGACAGCCCTATTTAAAGTAGCCACCACCCCATTCCCACCACCATCAACTATTCCATTCCCCTTTCAGAAACTTTATCAGGATCTAAAATTATCTTGTCCATAATTTGTCATTTAATTGTCCATCTTCCCCACTAGGGGGAGGTCTTGTGCTGTTTACCATGAAAATTCCAGGGCCCGGAAGTGTGCCTGGCACAGAGGGGACACTCCATAAATTATGTTGATGAAATGCATAGAGGCGATTCAGAATTTGGAAGCAGTGATATTACAGGGGAGATTGGGGGTATTAGAGAAACATATTCATAGTGGAGCTGGGGGACATAGAAGAGGAATAGATACCAGGAATTTAGGTGATAAAAGAGGAACTGGGGCTCAAGGGTTACATTAGAAAACAAATGAGGGGGTGGTAGAGGAGGACTTGGGATGTTCCATGGAATACATTGTTATTTGCAGAATTATTAAACGCCCAGTGCCTCAGTCTCCTCATCTGTAAAATGTAAATAACAGTAGTATCCATCTCATAAGTTTCTTGGAGGAATAACTGAGGTAACACATGGGATGTGTTTGGAAGACTGTCATCATCAAAATTATTACTGAAGTTAAAGCAGGAGTTGGGATACACAGGGTCCTGCCTCCCTGCCCCACCCCATCCCCCAACTTGGCCTCATGCACCTGGGAAGAACTCTGGGTTCCAAAAAAATGGTTTGAAATCCAGTCTGCTGAAGCACGCCATCTCAGACTATGTGTTTTTGTAGCAACAATTGGCAGGAGACGGGTAGCAGTAACTCTTCTCTGTGTGGGTAGTAAAGAACTCTCTTTGGGGCTTCCCTGATGGCGCAGTGGTTGAGAGTCCGCCTGCCGATGCAGGGGACACGGGTTCGTGCCCCGGTCCGGGAACATCCCACATGACGCGTAGCGGCTGGGCCCGTGATCCATGGCCGCTGAGCCTGCGCGTCCGGAGCCTGTGCTCCGCAACGGGAGAGGCCACAACAGTGAGAGGCCCGCGTACCGTAAAAAAAAAAAAGAAAAAAAAAAAAAAAAAGAACTCTCTTCATAGCTCCCCATATGGCCCTCTTCACTCATCAACATCCTATGCCTGCCCCCCATGGTGATATTTAATTAGCCCTGAACATTGTGCCAGGTGGTTTACCTAGAGGATCACCCCAAACACTCCATTGTGCCCGTTTTCCAGCTGCGGAAATTAAATGAGAGAGGTTCAGGAACTTGCCTAAGGACACAGCAGAGAGGAGGGTAGTTTCCCGCTCAACCTCCGCCCCTGCACTTTTTCAGTGGTTCTCATTTTAGCAGAAAGAGTGTTTGGATGAAGCCATGCACTACGGCTGTCACGCATTTGTTGACGCTCCTTCTCGCTGAACCTCAGTTTCTTCATGTGGAAAATGGGGATAATAGTAACTAACCAAGGCTGTTTTGAGAACTGAAAATAATGTGCTTATACTTAGCCCATGCTAAGTACATCAGTAACTGGATGTTACTATATATCTGCCCTTCCCGTTTCTTTTTGAAAAACTGAAGCAGTGGGTTGACGTTTGAGGGGAATTTGGTGACGCTGCAGAGGGAGTGAAGACTCCCCTTTTCAACCTCCTGAGAAAAACCAGCCACGGTACCCGAAATGCACTACGCATGCGCATTCAGGTGGCCGGAAGCGCCGCTGCCCCGAGTCCTCCAGTAAATGGAGACCTTGGTGAACCGGCAGTATACCTGGGCCGAAAGGTGAGGCGGCGAAGTTTGGGAAGATACGGGTCGAATCTGAAAGGCACCGGGGGAGCCAGAGGTCTGGTCAGTCCCTAGTTGAAGGGACTCCCTTCATGCCTCTCCCCGCACACACAGACTCGGGTAATGGTCTCGCCCGATTCCCGTTCCCTTCTATCACTCCAGGACATACCAAGTTTCCAGCAGAGGGGTGGGAGGAGCGGGCCTGAGTGAGGAAGGGCCCATTTGGCGGGTGAGATCATTGTCACGGAAGTCAGGAGAAAAATGGGGGGAAGGGGGGAAAGAGGGTCCAAACAGTTGGGAGAAGAGTGGAGAGGCCTCCAGGAGACCCTTGTGTGCAGGGGGCGGGGCCTGGAAGACCTTTGCCAGGGAAAGGAGGCGGGGATCTCTGGATGGGCGAGTTCATTGGGTGGGGAGGTGGGAGGTTCGGATGACGAGTTCATTGTGTGTCCGACTGAGGGGGATGAATGGTTGGGAGAGACCATTGTTTGCATGGGGAGATTTGGGCAGTGCTTGGGAGTGACCCCCGCGTGTATGAATGCGGAGGGTCACGGTGAGTGTGTGCGAGGGTTACAGGTTTGAACTGTGCCTTGAAGCAGGAGTTAGATTCTGACAGAGGCTCTGAGATGTGGGCCAACAACAGGTGCAAACGCCCCATGATGGAAGAGTTAAGGATCCACTTGCAGAAGGAGGGTCTGCCCATTGGAATGTAAGGTCCGTGGGCAAATACATCGAGAGTGATGCTGGAGAGTACGCAGGGGACATATCAAAGGGGACTGGACTGCCAGGCTGAGGGGCCTGACGCTGTCCCACGATCCTGGGGAGCCATGGGAGGGTTGTGAGCAGGACTGGAGCAAGATAAGCTGTGGGTGTAGAAAGACCTGTCTGGGGCTGTGTGGGAGACGGACTGGATCGGGGAGGTTGGAGGTGAGAGGCCAGAGAGGAGGCTGGGGTGATGATCCCGGAGGAGAGGAGAAGACCTGAGCTGGGACTTCCCTGGCGGTCCAGTGGTTAAGACTCCGTGCTTCCACTGCAAGGGATGAGGGTTCGATCCCTGGTCAGGGAACTAAGATCCCACATGCGTGTGGCACAGCCAAAAAACAAACAAACAAAAAAAGACCTGAGCTGTGGCAGGGGCCATGGGGACAGAGGGGAGAGTAAAAGACAGAAAACGTGGGAAGGTTGGGAGACTGACAGACCAGGGAGGGGGTAGGAAGGAGGAGGACGGAGGGATGAGAACTCCCTGGGAACCTGACCCAGCGACTGGGTGGCAGTGAGGCTGCTGGGACAGTGATGGGCACAGATGGGGACCGCAGGAGGAGGGGCGTGCTTGGAGGAGGACTCTGAGGTCTGCACAGATGTCATGAGTGTGAGGGGTCTGCAGGTCATCCAGGGGGCTTGGGAGTGAGGTTCCGATGCTGTCAGCTGTGGTTGGCCCTGGGTACTGTGAGGCTCATTGGGCTAGCTGGGGAGAGGGAAGTGAAGTGAGGAAGACAAAGGTTCAGTCCAAGAGGCCATATTGTGAAGGGCCTTGAATGCCAGGTTGAGGGGCTCAATTTTTTTTTTTCTTTTTTAAAGATTTATTTATTTTTGGCTGCATCTGGTCTTAGTTGCAGCGCCTGGGCTCTTCGCTGTGGTGCACGGGCTTCTCTGTAGTTGTGGCATGCGGGTTTTCTCTTCTCTAGTTGAGGCACGTGGGCTTAGTTGCCCCGCGGCATGTGGGATCTCAGTTCCCCGACCAGGGATCGAACCAGGCGTCCCCTGCTTTGTAAGGTGGATTCCTTACCACTGGACCACCGGGGAAGTCCCGAAGGGCTCATTTTTCTACTGGGGGTTCTGGGGAGCCATGGGAGGAAAGTGAGCAGGGAAGAGGCAAGAGCAGCTCTGGAAGCCAGAAAGACTCCTCTAGGGCCACGTGGGGGATGGACTGGAGAGGGGAGACTGGAGGCAAGGAGGCCTGGAGGAGGCTGGGTGAGGACACGCATGAGCTGGTTTCAGGGCTATGGGGTTGGAGAGTACAGTGTGTAGCTGTTGGTGGAGGCTATGGGAATATCTGCCGTCCCTCCAAGGAGGGTCTTGGAGAGAGAGGGCCTCCCTGGGCCCCCAGGGCAGATGAAACTTTGGAGGAGACCCCTCTCCCAACTCCAGCAGCTTAGAGAAAACCCTCACTGTCACCTCTCTTCTCTCTTCCTCAGCCCCCTTGGAGCTGACCGACGGCAGCCCCACCTCACCCTCACTTCAGCCTCCAGAGCCAGGGACTGGGTCTGGGACAGACCGCACCCCATGAAGGCGGGAGGTGGAGAAGCGGGTCCTGGAGACCCCCCAGACTTTCTGGGATTCAGTCCATCTCAACTGAGGATACACCATGAGGAGCCTGAGGTCCCAGAAGAAGAGGTGAGCCCCCCGACGCCCACCCACCCCAGGAGTCAGGTCTCAGCAGGAATAGAGATTTAGGCAGCTGTGAATTTGATTCCCAGATCTATCGCTTCCTGGCTTTGTGTCTTGGCCCATGGACACGCTGCTCTGAGCCTTAGTTTCTGCTTCTGTGAGAATGAAACCTTCCCTGTTGTGGGGATGCCAGGAGATGGTGTCCGATTCACAGCAGTTGCACAATGAATGTATTCATTATTTCTGTACCTAGAACAGTGATGGATGTATGATTGTGCTGGATCTCAAACTTGAGAGCCATTGGAGAAAATGAGGCCTCCCTCCTCCGTGTACCTCTTTCAGGTCTTTGCTTCAGTGTCACCTTCTCAGCGGGCCTCCCCAGGCCATCCCCTTTAACGTGGCATTCCCATCCCACCCCAGGCATTTCCTATCCCTTTCCCTCCTTTACTTCTCAGGCTTTCATGAAACGTTTGCCTTTAAGCTAGTCTTCATAAAAAACCCTAACTCTAGGGCTTCCCTGGTGGCGCAGTGGTTAAGAATCCGCCTGCCAATGCATGGGTCCCCATCTATCAAATGAAGGTTCATTATTACAAGGGTATGATATTGTGGGTTCAAATCCCACCTCTGCCTCTTACCAGCTCTATGATCTGATCCGGATATTTCTTAATTTCTGAGCCTCAGTTTTGTCATCTGTCAGATGGGGATTATAAGAGTCCTCACCTCATAGAGTGAGTTCAGGGAGTTAATACACACAAATTGCTCAGAACAGTGCCTACACCCTCTAAGTATCAAATAAATATTAGCTAATAAGGTTATCTCTAACACCATCCCCAAATTCACAGATGAGTATGGGTTTGTGAGGGCTGCTTTAGTGTTACTTTCCAGATTCAAATCTTGACTCTTCCACTCCCAAGCTCTGTGACCTCGGGCAAGTGACTCACCTTCTCTGAGCTTCAGTCTCCCTGCAGAAGACTGGGTTATTGTGAGCACTCAGTCTGGTGCCTAGTATCCAGAAGGCGCTGCATAAACGCCAAATAAAAGGTGGTTTTTTTTTTAGCTGTGTCCCCTCTGTGGGGTCTTGGCTGCCAATGGCATGTATTGGTTTCCCATGAAACCAATTACCACAAATTTGGTGACTTAAAACTACACACATTTATTCACTTACAGTCTGGAGATCAGAAGTTCAAAATGAATTTCACTGAGCCACAATCGAGGTGTCAGCAGGGCTGTGCTCCCTCGGAGACGTTAGAGGAGAAGCCATTTCCTTGCCTTTTCTATCTTCTAGAGCTGCATTCCTTAGCTCCTGATCCCTTCTTCCATCTTCACAGCCAGCAGCTTAGTATTTTGGTTCAGTAGTCACATCACCTTCTTCTTCTGCATCAAATCTCCCTTTGCCTCCCTCTTATAAGGACACTTATGATTACATTCACAGTCACCCAGATAATCCAGGATAATCTCCCCATCTGAAGATCCTAATTTAATCACATCTGCAAAGTCCCTATTACCATTTAAGGCAACATTCACAAGTTCTAGATATTTAGGACCAGGATATATTTAGAGGCCATTATTCAGCCTACCATATGACAGAAAACCCCAGCTCAAACTTGCTTAAGCAACGAAAGGTAATATATTGCCTCACCTAACCAAAGAGTGGAGGAAAGGATGCTTCAGGTGAAGCTAGATCTAGGTGCTGTCTAGATCTAGGAAGCTGTCTCTCTCTTTTCTTGGGACCGTTTTCCTCTATGGATATTTCATTGCCAGGTTGACTCTTCCCACAGGGTGCAAAAGATGGACACAGGCAGTGCCAGGCTCGCATCCAAAGATAAGTGCTATGGAGAAAAGTAAAGCCAGGAAGCAGGTAGGAAGAATCGGAGGGGTAGCATGAGTTTCGATTTCAGATAGAGTGGTAAGGAGAGGCCTCAGGGAAAAGTGACATTGGACCAAAGACCTGACCGAGGTGAGGGAGGAACTGTGCGTCTGTGGAGGGGAAGAGGGTTCCAGGCACCAAGTCCGTTGAGGAGGCCTTGAGTGTGGCCAGAGCCTAGTGAGCCAGAGGAGAAGGCAAGAGATGAGGTCAAGGAGGGGACACAGGCGGGTCATGCAGGGCCTCCTGGGTCGTGAGGACTTGGGCTTTTCCCTGAGTTAGAGGGGAACCAGGGGAGGCCTCTGAGCTGACTTAGGTGTTAACCGGCGCCTTCTGGCGGCTGCGTGGGGAACAGACCTGAGGGGTGGACGGCTGAGGCAGGGAACCCAGAGAAGAGACCACAGCAATAGCCCGGGAGAGAGATGATTTTAGCTCACAGGAGGGTGCTGGCTGTGGAGATGCTGCGAAGTGGCCCGATTCTGCCTGTATTTTCAAGTTAGAGCCAACAGGCTTGATGAGAGATTAGATGAAGGTGTGTGAAAAAGGGGTGTCAGGTTTTTGCCCCGAGCACTTGGAAGGAAAGAAGGAGCTGCCTTTTCCTGAAATGAAGGCGTCAGGAGGGACGGGACGGGGGGGGGGGGGGGGGGGTAGAATTTCAATCTTAACCCATCTAATCCGCATTGCCGCTCCAGGAGGGCGGTCCCGTTATCTGCCCATTTTACAGATGAGGCGGCTGCAGCCCCAAATCCACAGTCATGTCTGGGCAGGGGTGGGATGGGGGTATGACCCGAGGACTAAGCCCATTCTTCTCTTCCAGGCGCCCGGAGGAGACGAGGCGGAGGCTCCGGCCCTGGTGCAGCTCATCGACGAGCACGGGACGTACTCGACTGCGCGCCTGGTTCCCGACGTTTCTGCGGAGGAGCGCTCAGGTAAGGAGGAGCCAGGCTCGCTTCGCAGCGGCTCCGAGGGCCGGGAGGGGCTGGCGCGGCCCAGGCAGTTCAGCTGCGCAGCCTGCGGGAGGGCCTTCAAGCGCGCGTGGGAGCTGCTGAGCCACGAGGTGGTGCACACGGCGGCGCGGCCCTTTCGCTGCGGCCTGTGTGCGGCCGCCTTCAAACGCCACTCGGACTGCAAGGGCCACCGGCCGGTGCACAGCGACGAGCGGCCGCACGGTTGCGATGCCTGCGGCAAGCGCTTCAAGCGAGCCAGCAACCTGTAGGTGCGGAGAGGGGGGCGGAGCCGACGAGAGGCTGGGGTACGCGAAAGGGGCAGGGGAGAGCGGTGGACCCGAGGTGGGCGGGGCCTGTTGCGAGGGGCGGGGCCTGCGGGGAAAAGGCAGGGCAAGGCAATGGACCTAAGGTACGGCCAGGTATGAAGGGAGGGGTGGAGGTTTCTGGGACCAGGTTGAGCAGGGCCTTGGACTGGGGGTGAGCGGGAGCCGGTGGGGAGAGGCAGAGCCCACCGGAAGAGGGAGAGCAGAGCTGGGCCTGAAGGGAAAGTGGGCGGGGTGACCAGGAGGCCGAGGCGGGGAGGGGTTCAATGTATGTGGAGGTGAGCTAGAAGGTAGAAGAATCCCAGGAAAGATGTGAGGGGAGAGGCTTAGAGAAAGTGGTCTTGGCACTCAGGGAGGTAGCAGCTGGGATGATCATGAGATGATAGGAAATTGGGGATGGGTTTTCGAGGAAGGTAAGAAGGAGATAGGGGTCAGATTTGGAGGAGAAGGTAATGGAAAGGGAGGCTTCCATGGCTGGGGAGGGGTGGGGAGGCGGGAGGTGTGTTGAGGGCCATGATGGGAGGAAAGGAGAGGCTGGGAGTTAGCCTGGAGGCAGCCCAGCTCTCAGAGCTACCCTGGATCTCTCCTGTTACTGGATGCTGCCGTGACCCTCTCCTGCTGCCCCTTCTTGTGTGGCCAAGGGGACAAGAGAGCCTGGGATTCCCTACCCAAGGGGCCCAAAGGCCGCTTCCAGGGCTCTCTGGATCCACCATCCCCAGGGTGCACTTTGTCCCACCTGTGTGCACAACCTCTAGGCTGGACGGGTGGAAGGGAGGCTTGGACTGGGCTGTCCTTCTGTGGGTGCGATATCCTCCGAGGCCTGGGAAACCCCCGCCAGCTCTCCTGAACCACCAAGTTCTAGTGTGGAACTCTGAGGATTCCAAGGAATATAAATTTGAACCTGGCCTTCCGGGTCATTGTGAAGGTCTATTTGTCAGAGGGGGGAGGAAGAACGTATTTTATTTAATAGTTTGGTTTGTAATTTTAAAAATTTTAGACAATTGGTATGTGTATCTTCATTTGGTCTCTTTCTCAGAGACCTGCAAGGAGTAGGGGTGAATCTACCTGGAGAGGCATGTCCTGCAGAGGTGAGCCACTGTTCCTCACTCCCGGTGCTGTCCTCTTCCCCAGGAGCACCGCCGCCTCCACATGGGCGAGCGCCCCTTCCCCTGCCCGTCCTTCCCGAAGCGCTTCAAGACCCCCTACAAGCTGCACCGCCACGAGCCTCTGCACGCCCCTTCGCGGCCCTTCCCCTGCTGGGACTGCAGCAAGGCCTTCGCGGCCGGGCCGACCCTGCTTCTGCACCGGCGGCAGCACTGTGAGAACAAGCCGCGCTCCTGCAGGGTGTGCAGCAAGCACTTCACCCACCGCCACAGGCTGCGGGTGCACGAGCGCGTGCATATGGGCGATCGGCCCTTCGTCTGCCCGCTGTGCACCAAGGCCTTCAAGCAGTCCAACGCGCTGGCCTCTCACCTCCGCGTGCATTCGGTCGAGCGGCCCTACCCTAGCTAGGTGGCTAGCTGCTGCCATCCTGGACAGCACAGGTCTAAGGTATGAAGGCATGAAGGGTGCCCGGTAGTGGCTGTGACATTTGAAGAATTGCCACTGATGCCCATGTAAGCCACTTACTATACTTAATATTCTTGAGAAGGACTTTGCAGAGGGCCTTTAACAAAACCTTTTTTTTTTTTTTCCCCCTGCAAAGCCAAGACGAAAGTTTATAAATCTCATTCCAGGGTAGCAAGTGCACATACCCAACCGAGCACACTGGTTATGTGGTATAAATGTACATGGTAATAACTTTAATCAAATCAGAGCTGCTACCATGTATAACCTGTTAGGTGGCCCTGTAGCTGTGTCAGTGTTCCTCATTTACTAAAATGTCAATGTGGTAATGAGGTCATCTGGTGGTGAGGATGTCCCATTGGTGGCTTGTGGCATAAAGAATATGAGGGTAGCCACAAATGCAGGTAGGAGCTGTAGGAGCCTTTCTTGAATGTGAGCGCTTCTGGGTCCTCCTCCACCACCTGTACGTAGACCTTTGGTACTAAGGCCTTGCTGGTGACTCTTGTCAAATTTAAAGAAGTTCACAGATGGATGGATAACTGTTCACTGTGGACACCCTGGGTTATGTCCTTACAGGCATAGCACAGCAAAACCATTGGTGCTGAGATCTTCTAGTTGGTGGTGTATGGCGTTTTAGGAACAATCATTTTGCCAGACATGGGCGTGACCTGCACTTCAGGTGGGCGTCCCATCTCTGTTGGCTGCTTCTTGGTCCCCATCTGTCAGATCAACTTGTAATGGTTGGAGGCCTTTCCACAGCATCCACAGTGTTCCCTTCGACCCTAGCATCAGCTCCATGAGCCCTACCTTTGGACGGACGTCCACTCTCATAGACCTTGCCTTGCAGGTGGCTGGAAGTGTGATAAGATAGCTTCTGGGATGGTGGCCACAGTGGCATCCAGAATATCTGAGTCGTCCCATCCCAGCTCTGAGATCAGCTCTGCAGACAGTATTTTTTTAAGCCAGTAATAGCCCAGGTATCATGCAGCTGATTCCAAAGATGTCCCTTGGGTGCTGAAGAGGTCCCCTGGGTACTGAAGGTGTCCCCTGGGTGCTAAAGATGTCCCCTGGGTGGTTTGTGGGATTTTTCAGAACATCAGTATTGCCTCCCACCCACCCATACCCTACTCTCAGCCCTTCACAGATGTGTTCTCTGAAGAGAAAGCTGAACTTACGGACAAAGTTCAGCCCAAGGAAGTATGTCGCGGTCACTGGGGCTGTGATCTTGGTGATTTGGGACATTTCCAGAACACCTTCAACTCTCCCTCTCCCACCTCTTGGTCTGGCCTCAGCTCCATGGATTCTCACCTTCTGAATGCTGTTTCTTTCAAGTCCCCAGCTTCACCTCCATAACGTGCTAGAGGTCCCCCCCCCCCCGGGAATTTATGTAAACGCTTAATAGCATTGGGGGAGGAGCTAGGGATTTGCCTGGGAGGCATCATAAGGTGGGTCCTATCCTTGTGGCAGCACAGTTTAAGGTCAAGTCCTTAAAGGTCTTAGTCCTCCCCGCCCTAATATGCAGCTGTGCCTTTGACAGGCTTGCATTTTAAATTTTATCAAATGTCTTATTGGCATCTATTAAGATGATTCTGATTTTTCTCATTTGACCTAATAATATGATAAACTATAGTACATTAAGAAGAGCAGAGATATCCTTATATTCCTAGAATAAATCTCACCTGCTTATAGTATCCTCTGTTTTAATGATTTCTCTTCACCAATATTTTATTTAAGCATCTAAATTCATAAGTGAGGATTTCCCTGGTGGTGCAGTGGTTAAGAATCCACCTGCCAATGCAGGGGACATGGGTTCGAGCCCTGGTCTGGGAAGATCCTACATGCCGTGGAGCAACTAAGCCCATCCTCTGCAACTACTGAGCCTGCGCTATAGATCCTGCAAGCCACAACTACTGAAGCCCACGCGCCCAGAGCCTGTGGTCTACAACAGGAGAAGCCACCGCAATGAGAAGCCCGCGCACCACAACAAAGACCCAATGCAGCCAAAAATAAATAAATAGATAGATAGATAGTTAGATAAATAAATAAATAAATAAAAAAGCAGAAACCTGTTCTGGGGGAAGATATCATGTGGTACATTTACAGTCATTTTATCTATAACGTCAGACTTAAAACTAAAACTTCATCAGCAGGGGTAGAAGCAGAAAATTTGATAAATAATTAGAAAAAAAAAAACTGATGATGGAAAGAGATCAATATATTACCCAGATTGGAATGAGCAGGGAACACTTCAAATTAACTGTGGCTAAGCTGCTAAAGAAAATAGGGAAGATCAAAAAGCAGATGAAATAAGGGCACATTTCAACAGAGAATTGGAATCTAGACAAGAATCAAATCAAGATTTTGGGCAAATGCAAAATCTGAAACTAAAGTTAATTGAATAGGTTTAATTGTATACTGGGTCCTGAATAAGATGATAAGATGGGACTCATGAATACAATGACAGGTCAATAGGAAATTGCCAAATGGAAGCATGGAGAGCAATTGAAAAACAAAACAAAACAAAAAAACACACAGAAGAGAATAAATGATAAAAGATATAAGGAACATATATATATATGAATATAAGCCATACATACATATAACTTAAGTACCAAAATGAGAGGAGAAACACATTGAGGGAGAAGCAAAATTTGAAGTAATAATGGCTAAGAATTGTCCAAAACTGATGAAAGACATTAACTCAAAGATTCAAGAAACTCAGCAAAATCCAAACTGGAAATACACAAAGAAAACCACACCTGGGCACATCATGGTCAAACTGTTGAAAATCAAAGCAAGGACTAAATTTTTAAAGAAGCCAGAGGACATTCAGGTTTGTTTCCATGTCTCGGCTATTGTGAATAATGCTGCAGTGTACATGGGAGAGCAAGTATCTCTTCAAGATTCTGATTTTAATTCCTTTGGAGAAATACCCAGAGGTGGGATTGCTGGATCATATGGTATTGGGTTGGCCAAAAGGTTCATTTGGGTTTTTCCATAAGATGTTACAGAACAATAGTTCTGTTTTTAGTTTTCTGAGAACCTTCCATACTGTTTTCCAAAATGACTGTCCCAATTTGCGTTTCCACTAATCGTGCACAAAGGTCCCTTTTTTCCATACCTGGTTTTGATTTGCATTTCCCTGATAATTAGTGATGTTGAGAATGTTTTCATATACCTGTTGGCCATTTGTGTATCTTCTTTGGAAAAAAATGCCTATTTAGGTTCTTTGCCCTTTTTAAATCCATTTTTTCTTTCTTTCTTTTGCTATTGAGTTGTATGATTTCCTCTGATATTTTAGAAATTAATATGCATACATAAAATTAATCCAGCTATTCACATACACTTGGTACAATTTAATGTATGGCTGCTACATCTCAATCAGAAGAAGGAAATGCAATGGACTTGTGCTAGCCCACTGGATAGACTAGTGACCTAACCTTTGGCCAGTCCCTTCTTTGTCGTGAATAGTATTTTCTTCAGAGAGGTGTTTTTCATAGATCAAAGAATCCTTAGGAAGTCTAACAAAATAAGTAGTTTACCTGTCCTGGAAGAGTGCCATTTGTCAAAGTTCATTAAATATTTGTTTGTTGGTTTGTTTTAAGTTTTCTTTTTTTTTTCTTTTTTTTTTTTTTGCGGTACGCAGGCCTCTCACTGTTGTGGCCTCTCCCGTTGCGGAGCACGGGCTCCGGACGCGCAGGTTCAGCGGCCATGGATCACGGGCCCAGCCGCTCCACGACATGTGGGATCTTCCCGGACCGGGGCACGAACCCGCGTCGCCTGCATCGGCAGGCGGACTCTCAACCACTGCGCCACCAGGGAAGAAGCCCTGTCAAATGAGAATTTTAAACACTGGGTTTAACAGACAGAGGCCCCTTCTAAGTACTTTACAATTATTAACTCATTTAATGCTCACGACAACCCTATGAAGTGGGTGCTATTAGTCCCGTTTTGTAGCAGGGGAAACTGAGGCACAGGGAGGCTAAGCAAGCTGCCCAAGGTCACAGCCGGCTGGGGGCGGGCGAGATTCTACCTCGTGCCGTCCTGCACCGGACTAGGTGGGTAGGCTTCCCTATACTGGTGGGGTCTTGAATTTGGGATCTTGTCCGTCCTCCCCCATCAGGATGTGAGCTCTGGGTGGGGGCACCTCGTCTGGTGCACACAGGCATTTAATGAACATTGTGGAATCAAGAAGGGATGAGTGGATATCTTAGGATGGCCACATCCCTTCGTGACCGCCTGCGCCCTCCTGCCGTGCTCTGCTCGGGGAATTCTATTCGTGGTCAAGACGTTTAGTCCCAGTAAACTCGATCCTCGGGGCGAGGGGGGACCCCAAGGAAATGACCAGCTTGGGCTGAGTCAGGACGGAGAAGAATCCGCTCACAGCGGGGCACGGGCGCCACCTGGCGGGGGAGTTCTGCTAAGACAGAGCCGCTGGGAGACCCGGAACGTTTGCTTTGGGTGAAGTGGAATCGACATCTGAAAGGGAGTTGATATCGGGTGTTATTAGTGGGCGGTCGTCTGAAAATCAGTGTATGATGATGGGTGCCATCTACCAGTGGCTTCCAAACTTTTCTGGCCGTGACGCGCAGTAAGAAATCATTTCACCTTAACATGGTTTCATCAAATACCACCCTGTACTGCATGATGTTTTTTATTCTACTGTATTCCTATTTTTAAATGTTAGTCAGATCCCCTGATCACACCTCCAGGGACTCCCCCTCTGACTTCAAGATGAACGGAGCTCAGAGAGGTGAAGACACTTGTCCAAATCCACACAGGTTGTATGCGACAGTGCCAGTTTCTGCCTCAGTCCTAAAGCACAGAAATCACTAAATGCTCCAAATTTCACTGCTATTGAGTACAATTTAATTTAGTCCTTTCTCCATTTTGCCAGTAAGATTGAGCTGCACTGGTCTGCTGTTTTCTTATTACTGTATAATGTAAATGAATGACATTCCCGAGCTCAGGCTTAAAAAATGCAAGTCTTCTTATGTTACAAAATGAATCTGAGACAGCAATAAAGAACCTACATTGAGGTGGCACTCGCAGCATCATTGCCAACACCACTGTTACCATCACCACCATCACCATCGTCACCACGGTCGTCATCATAACCGTCACATCCCCTTCTCTGTCACCGTCAGCATCACATCGTGATCATCATCACTGTCACCACCTTCATTCACCATCATCATCGCCATCCCCACTACGGCCATCACCAACATCACCACTGTCACCGCCACAAAAATCGCCCCCACTTGAAAGCAGGTATCAGCAGCCCACACTTTTTGTCTCCTAGCTACAGCCTTGGCCCAGCAAGCCTGCGTCCTCCATCTCTCTCTCCACCCTGAGCCACAGGGGATGTGACTGTGACCCCGAGGGTAGTGCTGTCTTACTTGGGAACCAAGAGGATTCTGGGTTTGATTCTCCGGCTTTTCTTTAAGTGACTTCAGTTCTCTTCTGAGCTTGTTGCCACAAGGTTGACCATCCATAGATGGTGAGCCCAGCCCCTGGACCAGGGGAGGCTCTGCCCAGTGTAGCTCTAGGACCCTTGAGGTGGCTGAGACTCGGGGTGGGGTGTTTAAGGCTGAACGCCTCCTGCTATAGGGGTTTGAGACCACTTTGGGAGGGGAGACCTGAGGGTCTGTGTTCTCTGTACTCATTGTCCTGTCTTAGGAGAGAAAGAGGAAGTCCCTCTGGGATGGCAAACAGGGCCGGTCGTCATGACTCTGCCCCCCGCCAAGATGAGACTTCCCAGGTCCCAAAGGAGAAAGTGAGAATGACAGCCTAACTTCCAGAAGTCCCATCCTAGGGAGTTGCCATTTCCATCGCCTTCCTGAAATACCCGTTTTTAAATTTCTTGTTCACTGTTATATCCCCAGAGCCTAGTACCCTGTATGGCACATAGTAAGTACTCAATAAATGTTTGTCAAATCAACGGGAAAAGAGATGGAGAGTCCCCCTCCCCTGCAACTGTTAGGGAAGAGATGGGATTCTGCATCGTATCATTAATTCAAAGGATCTGATTTGATACGGTGTGAAGGGGAGAACTTTTACAAAATTATTAACTTTGTACTGTGCACTAGAGAGACTTCGAAAATTAATAATTGACTCCAACATCTCCTGTTCCTTACGAATATTTCTCAGAAGTGATTTCAACAAAAATGTTTTCTACCATGCCCCAAACTGTAGGAGTTGTGGTCAGGTCCAGTGACTATTCCCTCCAGAAGAAGGCTTTCACCCTGCCGGGTTGTCTTGATCATTTGCGGCCCTGCTTTTAACATCCTGCCTGTAAACTGAATAAATACAGGTAAGCTTTCTCATTAGATCACAAGATCGATAGCCCTTTCCCTCACGATGGGAAACTAAATCCCATGACTCTGATGGATTAATTATCTTACAAACAGAACTAGTGAGCCCACGTTTGTACTAAATTAGCAAACGGTGCCAGGCCCACCGATGACAACTTCCGGGATGGCTGAGAGTAGAAGGTGGCGACCCCTGCTCGCAGCCCCGACAACACACAGGCGAGAGTCACCTCCAATTTTGTCCCATTTTTTGAGTCCAATTTTGAAGATGGTTTTGTGTTCTTAAAGCATTCTTATAAAGCCTGTGTGTTGAACTGCATTTGTGAGAACAAAATGAGTTCTAGGTCCCTTATTTTTCTTTAATACTTTCTTTCTGTTGTTACTATTTATATTGTTTGTATGTCTTGATAAAAGCTAATTAATCAACGACGTGGTGGGCAATTTGGAGTTTTTTTCTTTCCTGTGCAATGTTGAGGTAGCAAGGTTGACATGCTGCTTTCAGTCCCCTCTCTTGAGATATGAAGAATTCCAAAATATAAATTAAAAAATTTTAAACGTACACACTGAGATTCTGGGGTTGCTTCTTACTGCAGCATAACCCAGCCTATCCTGACTGATACAGTTTCCGGTTCTCAGTAGAGCCTGAAATGTGCAAGTCTCAAAAAAAAAAAAAAAAAAAAAGTGAGTAAATGAATGAATGGCAGGGAATAGGGACAGGGTCATACATTTTCTCCTGGGCCAAAGGTAGAGGAAACAGCCATGTCTTATGCTCACTCACTCACATATACGCTTGTAACCAGGCTGGGGTAAAAATCAGACTCTGGCCTTTATTTCCTATGGTCACAGTTCATGCTGACCCTGATGTCTTTGCCCCCATCCTTCCCCCACTGGTCAGTACTGGGGACTCTTGAGGACAAGGAATGAGGAGCTACAGAGACAAGGACATGAGATGCGAGGAGGGCCTGGGAGACGGAGGAGAGGAGAGGGAGTTAGAAATGCGGAAGCCGAAACAGGAGGTGGGGGGGATAATCAGAGAGGTCAGAGTAGAGATGGGGAGACAAACATGGAGACAGGACAGAGACACACTGAACGGGAAGCCTAGAGAACAGAAGATTAGGGAACCGAAAGGGAAGGGCAGGTTGGAAACAGAGAGGGGGACCAGGCGACAGATGACGGGGAGCTGATGGGAAGAGATGCAGAGACATAGTGAAGGGGAGATGCAGACAGGTGTGCAGGCAGGTCACCCGGAGCTGGGTGAGAAAGATGGAGAGGCATAGGGGAAATTAAGAGGCAGAGACCCAGAGAAGGCCCTGCAAGGAGCCAGAGGCCGGGCTGGGGCTGGGTGCCCCTAGTATTTGCTCTGGGAATCTTTGCTGGTGGTGGAGACCCGGCCGGTGCTAGAGGCAGGGCCAGTGCTTGAGACGTGGCCTCTGCTGGACTTGAGGCCTCCACTCGATTCTGACTCAGGGCCTTTGCTCTCCGGGCCCCCAAAGCTCTCGTGGCCTCTGCTGGACCCCAAGTATCCAGTGGACCCCGGGTAGCTGCTAGAGTTGGGGGATGTGACGATCGCTCGGCCCTCAGTCGAGCCCCGGCTGGACATAAGTCCCCCGGTGACGGGTCTGGTGGAGCCGAAGGTCGCGTGGCCTGCACTGGAGCTGGGGTCCCTAAAGCTGACACGGCCGACGTTGGAGCTGGTGGCGCGGCCTCCGCTGGACGCCAGGATGCTGCTAGCCCTGTGGCTCGTGAGGGAGCCGGGGACAGCGCTGGGGCTCTTGGGCAACAGGGGCAGGCTGGAGCTGGCCTGGGTGCTGGAGAGGGTCACGCTTGGGCTGCTGTCCACCTTCGTGACGGCCTCAGCCTGCTGCTTCAGGTACTGACCCTTCGCCTGCTCCCGGGCCTCCAGCTGCGGGGGAGGCGAGTTAGGGCCCCAGAGGAGGAAGAGCCGCCCCGCACCCGCGGGCACCCGTCCTCACCGACTTCACCACGTAGCTCAGCAGCTCCCCCTCGCTCAGCGGGTAGTCATCGTTGGCCTCAAAGCCTGGGGGGTCCTCACTAAGGTGGGTGGAAGGCAGGAAGGGACTCTACTCCTCGACCTTCAGAAGGCCGATGGCGTCTCATTGCTAGGCCCTGAGACCCTCAGCCGTGCGCCGGGTTCTGAGCGCCCTTTCCCCTTCGGGTCCACCCAGGGCCCCATCGAATGTCCCTGGAGCCCTTACTCCTGATTCCCCCGAAGTACCCACTTCATCTTCTACTCCCCCCGCCCCCGAGCCCCACTCACCCTCCAGTCCCGGGGGCCTGCCCACACCTGAAAACCCTCCCTTCCCTTGTCTCCTCTGCCCCCCGTGGAAGCTCCCTGACCCTTGCCCTCTGGCTCACAGATGGTCAGGGGGCTGAGGTGGGGCCACTTTCTTGGGAAGATCCTCGGGGCTCTGGCCCAGCACCAGGAGGGCAGCGTCAGGCAAGCTGGCAGAGAGGTTGTTCTGGAGGGTGGAGAAGCCAGTGGTCTGCTCAGGCCCGTCTCCAAGGCCCCGGCACCCTGTCCCCCCTCTGCACCGTCTGCACCCCAACCTGGGTTTCGAGGAAGGCCTGCACCGTCAGGAGCTCCACCAGCCGCTTCTCTATGAGGCCCAGGAAGAGGCCTATGTCCCGGTCTCTCATGTGGGTCTTGACCCCTAGGAGGTCATCGATGACCGTGCTGTCACACTGGGCCCTGGTGAAGAGGTGCTGGATATCTGGGGTCAGAGGGGACAAGCCATCATGGATCCGGTGCCCACGGGGTGCCACCCTCTCCTCTCCTCAAGGCCCTGCTGCCCAAGCAAGGCTCAAAGATGCGAAGGGACTTGCCCAAGTTCAGACCCACCGGGTTCCAGATGACAGAGGGCAAAAAGCGAGGGAAGTCCAAGGAAAACGTGACAAGGGCACCTCCACATGGCCAGTCCTCTGCTCACGGCTCAGAATCACCCAGCTTCCACCCAACCCAGCGAGTCCACCGCTCAGGATGTGCTTCTCCCACAGAAACACACACACGTGCTCCACGGGAGAAAGCGGAGGAAATTCACAGCAGCACCAAGGCTGTGACCCGCTCTCACAATTGGCCTGCTTGTATTTAGTTAACTGGTTATTGTGAATGAAATAAGATGCACCCATGACCTTGACAGAAATCTGCACCCAGCCTGTGGCATCCCTACCACCCTCCCCTGCCTCCCCCACCTGAGCTGCAGGCTCATATTCAGTTTCCTCCTGGGGTCCCTCTCCGAACAGTCCGCAATACCGCTCACACTGAGGTCAGGCTCACCCCCCAGAGCAGTTCCTCCTCCCAGGTTCCGCATTGCACCCTCACCGGGCCAGACCCCTGGTGCCTCAGCCCTCACACCCCCGACACCTCTGTGCTCCCTCTCTCCCTCTCCATCCTCATCCCTCTCCCTCCTATCCACCCCCCTCTCCTGCTCACAGCCCTCCCATGGCTCCCCAGCACCCCCAGGAAAAAGCCTCAGCCTGGCATCCGTCTAGGATCTGACCCTCTTCAACTCCCACCCACGCCCTCTCTGCACGAAGAACCTGCCTTCCTTGCATGTACCTCCGAGCCTTGGCCCCGCCTGCTGGGAGCATCCCCTCTCCCCAGTTGTTTGGTTAAATACTCATCCTTCAAAATCGGCCTCAAGCATCATGGCTCCCAGGAGACCTCCCCTGTGAGCCCAGCAGAGCCAATGTCATGGGCACAGGGCCCTGTGCCGAGAAGGAGCCCACGTTTGGTTTGATGCTCTGCTCTTGTCTCTTGAAATTCTTGCCAGTTTGTAAACAAGGGGCCCCGCATTTTCATTCTGCACTGGGCCCCCCAAATCCTGGTCCTGCACTCCACTCTGAGTTAAGGCATACCCTTCCTCCTGCAGGGCCCAAGGTGTCCTCCCTCCCAGCCCCTGGGTTACGAGTATCCAGAGCCCGTGTCAGCATCTTCCCCGCCTCCCCCTGCCGGTCCTCACTACCTAGCACAGGGCTTGTCACCGCAGTCCCTACAACAGAGGGAAAGAGGGTCTGCCAATACCTGAGCTCCGACCGCGCAGCGCGAGGTGGCCCTCCTGCTTGCTCCCCACCACCACTGCCACCTCCCAGTCTCTCTCCATCCCTCATCCCATCTAATTCTCATGCCGACCCTACAAACTAGGCACTGCCATTCCACTTCCGGAGGGGCTCCAACAGAGGAAACCACACACCAAAGTTCACAAGTGGTGGAGCTGGGATTCAAACCCAGGGCTGCCTGACTCTCATGGACTCCACACTGGAAGGATGAATGGATGATGGATGCAGGATGGCTGGATGAAGGATGGCTGGCTGGCTGGACGCAGAATGGATGAAGGATGAGTGAATGGATGGTCGGATGGATATGGGACAGATGACAAGGGAGTGCACAGAGTGGTCCGCGGAATGTCTCCGCGTGGCCGGCCCGGGCAGGGCTCTCCGCCTGCTCATCGCATCCTTCCAGATGAAGAAGCCGGGGCGGGTGCTCACCGGTCTTGAGCTTCTCCAGCTGCCCGCGAAAGTTCTGGAAGCGGGCCTCCAGGTTCTCGGCCTCCGTGTGCACCTCGTCCACGCGCTGCTGCAACTCGGCCAGCTGCTGCTCTTGCCTCGAGCGACGGTCCTCCTCGCTGCGGCGCCCGCTCTCCAAGGCCTCCTGCATCTACAGGGGCAGGGGCGCGACGCTGGGCCCAGCTCGGGAGGGGGCGCCAACGTGGGTGGAGGAGGGGAGGGGGAGGGGAGGGGAGGGGGAGGGGAGGGGAGGGGGAGGGGGAGGGGCGGGTCTCGCTCACCTCCTTGATCTCCTCCTGCAGACGCTCCAGCTCTGAGTTCTGCTCATTGATGAAATTGAACTCTGCGAAGTTCCGCTCCTCCACTGGGGGCGAGTCAGGAAAGGCAGGGTCCAGAGAGACAGAGACCAGCAAACGGAGAGACACACACAGAAAGGCAGAGAAAGAGATGTTGAGAAAGGCAACAAAGACACAGAGACAAAGAGAGATAGAGACGGAGAGATATAGGCAAAGAAATAGACACAGGGGCCAACAGAGAGAAATACAGGGCAAGGCAGAGCGACAGAAAGAGCGACCGAGAGAAAGTCACAGAAATGCCGAGAGAGACACAGAGAAACAGAGAAGTGAGGGAGAGCAAACGGTAAAGGTGGGTAAAGAGAGAACATTAGACACCGGGAGAAAGACAGCAACAGGGACACGGAGATAGGCACACAGAGGCTGAGAGGAAGATTCCCAGGGTGACCCGCAGGCCCAGGAATGAGGGAGGCGGAGGAGGGAGGGAACGGGGAAGGGGGAGACGGATGGGGGAGGCGGGAAGGCAGACACGCCAGGGAAATTGGACAGAAAGAAAAAGACGGAGATACACTCAGTGAGAACAGAGAGATGCAGACGGGTGGAGACACACAGAGAAGGAAGCGGTCAGTAGGCCCGAAACGTGGGTGGGAGAGAGACTGGGGAGAAGGCGGGGTAGAGAGAGGGGCGGAGGCAGGGCGGACGGGAAGAGGCGAGTAGGGCGGAGCCTGATTCCTGGTCCCTCCAGCGCAGGTGGAGGAGTCCCCAGGGCCGAAGCGGAGGCCCTCGGTGACCGAGACAGAGCACAGTCTGCACTGGATTCCGGGGGACTGGGCGCCGTGCTCCTGCCCCCCCTCCTCCCCGCCCTTTCCATCCCCACCCCCTACCCCCAGGGACTCACACTCCAGGTACTTCTCCACCAGCAAGTCCGGGTCGCTCTCCCCGGTCAGCTGGGACAGTTTCTTCAGGGCGTCCTCGTAGCGCAGCACCAGCTTCTCCTGGGAGGTCTTCCGGAGGCCTTCGGCCACCTCCCGGGCTGGGGGATGAGGGGGCAGTGAGGTCGGCGTCCGGGGCGGCCACCAGGGCGGAGGGGCCTGGCTGGGCACGCTGGTGGGGAGGGGGCAACAACACCGCAGCCGCGCAGACCCCGCCCCTCCAGCCCCGCCCTCCGGCTGGCCCCGCCCCGCGGCGAGACCTGGAGCGAGCCGCTCCGCCCCTCCCCTGGCCCGGCCTGCTGCAGGCAGAGGTGGCGGCCCCGGCCTCACCCCGTTGCTCGCGCTTCTCCACGATGGCGGGATCCGGCTGCCGATCGCTGTTCTTGAGTTCGAGGAAGCGGTGCAGCTGCTCCAAGTGCGCGATCTGCCGCTGCAAGATCTGCACCTCCGTGTCGTTCTGGGCCACCTCCTTCTCTGCCCTCTCCCGCAGCATGCCTAACTTGGCCTTCGCCTCCTCCCTGGGAGGGGTGGGGGGTTAGACCCGGGTCAGGGAGATTGGAGGTTGGATTTGGGTTCATCCTGGGGCCCAGGGAGGGGCGGGGTCAGCCTGGGGTTGGAGGGTGAATGGGGCAGGGTCAGTCTTGAGTCACAGGCACGCGTGGGGTCATCCTGGGGTTGGGGGTGGTGGTGGATGGGGCACAGTCAGCCTGGGGTCTCAGGGATGGGACAGAATCAGGTTGCCGTTACCCAGTGGTCACAAAAGGCAGAAAACTGTCTAGTTTCCTAGGGGTGGGTCAGGATGGGTTTATGGGGCAGAGTCAGGGGGCTCACTCACTGAAACTCCCCTGGCCTGCTTGGCCGAAGGTGGAGCTTTTAAGCTTTTAAACGTAGTGCAGCCAACTGTAAACTCAGAGTGCCCCAAGCCTACTTCACAGGTCACAGGATCAAAGGTCAGAGGGTCATTAGGTTGGGAGAACAGCAGGTCAGTCGCCTCAGGTCCCTGCCCATGGACCATTCTAGCTCCCCTTTCCACACCTTTGCCAACCTTGGTTGCCTCGATTCAGGGCACTAGCTTCTTGCTCTGTTCAAATTCCCCTGAGGCTTACTCAGGTCGGTCCTCCTTGGTGGGAGTCCTCTCCTGGCACCCACCAGCCCTAGCCCCCGGCGACCCCTCTAGCAGCCCCTCAGGGATTAGGACTCACAGTTCTTTCTGTGCCTTGGGCTTCAGGTCAACAGAAAGGCCAGGAAGAGGGAACCCAACTTCCCAAGAGCCTGGCCCTGCAGGAGATGCTCTAAAGCAGCACGCCATAAGTCCCCACAGCAGCCCATGAGGTAGATACCATTATTGTTGCCATGTCACAGTAGAGGAAACTGAGGCTCAGAGAGGGGAAGTGACCTGCCCAGGTCAGCCAGCAAGGAAGCACTGGAGACAATGGCTGGTCTGACAGAAGTGTTGGTCCTGACAGCTGCCCCCTGCCTTTAACGGAAACCACCCTATCTTTGCACCCGGCTAGGCTGCCCACTGCAGTCAGCTGGAGGATTGTTGGCAGAGGCTAGATCCTGGTGATGCAAAGACAGGTCAGCAGACCATCACTTGTGGGACGTGGCAGAAAAGATGAGCCGGGCCAGTCAGATTCTCTCCTCAGAATCTGAATTGGGAAATGCTAAGAAGGGGACAACGGGAAGCCGAAGCTAAAAGGGTGTATAGAGAGAAGCCACAAAAGGTCATGTTATGAAGGCCAAGTTAGGAAGAAGCCAGAGCTATGCGTGAACAGAAGCCATGAGTCAAGGCTCTGAAGAGGTCATGGAGGACCACAGGTAACAAATTACAGAATCAGCCATAAAAAGGCATGACGTACTGAGAGATGCTACAACGTGGGTGAACCTTGAAAGCACTGCACTGAGTGAAAGGAACCAGACACAAAAAGGACACGTTGTATGATTCCATTTGCATGAAACAGAAAAGTAAATTTACAGAAAGGCAGATGTATAGGTAAATCGTTGAGACAGGAAGGAGACTAGTGGTTGCCAGGACGTTGGGGAAGAGGGAAAGAGAGAATAACCGCTTAATGGTTACAGGTCTCCTTTGGGGGTGATGAAAACAGAAGTGATGATTGCACAACATTACCAAGGTACTAAATGCCACTGAATGGTACATTTTAAAATGGTGAATTTGGGGACTTCCCTGGTGGTGCAATGGTTAGGAATCCGCCAGCCAATGCAGGGGATACGGGTTCAAGCCCTGGTCCAGGAAGATCCCACATGCCGCGGAGCAACGAAGCCCATGCGCCACAACTACTGAGCCTGTGCTCTAGAGCCCGCGCGGCACAGCTACTGAAACCCATGCGCCTAAAGCCCGCGCTCCACAGCTAGAGAAGCAACCACAGTGAGAAGCCCGCGCACCACAATGAAGAGCAGCCCCCGCTCGCCGCAACTAGAGAAAGCCCGCGCGCCGCAACGAAGACCCAATGCAGCCAAAAATAAATAAATAAATACATAAATTTTTAAAAGGTGAATTTTATGTGCATCTTAACTCAAAGGAAGGAAGGAAGAAGGAAAGAAAGACAGAAGAAGGGAAGGAAAGACGGAAAGAGAGAGAGGAAGAAGGAAGGAAAGAAGGAAGGAAGGGAGGGAGGGAGGAAGGACGGAAAGAAAGAAAGAAAAGAAAGGAGGAGGGCTTCCCTGGTGGTGCAGTAGTTGAGAGTCCGCCTGCCGATGCAGGGGACGCGAGTTCGTGCCCTGGTCCGGGAAGATCCCACGTGCCGCGGAGCGGCTGGGCCCATGAGCCATGGCTGCTGAGCCTGTGCGTCCGGAGCCTGTGCTCCACAACGGGAGAGGCCACAACAGTGAGAGGCCCGTGTACCGCAAAAAAAAAAAAGAGGAACAAAGAAAGAAAGATCACAGAAACCATAAGGTAGATTTGGACTATAACCGATGTAGTGAGGACTCATGAACCATGATAAGCAGAAGTCATGTGGTAGAAACAAGACACTGAATAGAAGGTAAGAAACCACTTGGAGCAAGAGAATAGGGCTGAAGCTCAGAAAGGAGCAGAGATGGGATAAGAGAGAGCATGGAACCCAGGAGAGCCCAGAGGCAGAGAAAGACGTCCATGAGCAGAGCAGCTGGGGCTTCTAGACTCCACACAACATGATCCTTTATCTGAAGGTGGCTTGAGAGAATCTCTGTCCCTTTCAACCAATACTGACAAATATCAATCTAATTACAGTCATTCACTGATGCTTCCTACGACCTGGGCCCCTGCTATGTGCACTTACTTAAGTCTCTCTATTTTTTTTTAATATTTGTTTATTTTTGCCGGCATTGGGCCTTAGGTGCAGCACACAGGCTTCTCTCTAGCTGTGGTGCTCGGGCTTAGTTGCCCCGAGGCATGTGGGATCTTAGTTCCTCGACCAGAGATCGAACCCGCATCCCCTGCATTGGGAGGCAGATTCTCAACTACTGGACCACCCGGGAAGTCCCTTAAGTCTCTTTATTTATTTATTTGGCCACACCCTGTGGCTTGTGGGATCTCAGTGCCCGGACCAGGGATTGAACCTGGGCCATGGCAGTGAAAGTGCGGAATCCTAACCATTGGACCGCCAGGGAATTCCCCTTAAGCCTTTCTACATCCCTATGTGATACATGCCATTAACAGACTGGGGTTAAAGAGGTTAATTTATACACCCAAGGAGAGGGACCTTGCCTGAGAAGCTGGGAAATCAGTGGAGGTGGGAGAGAAAGGGGCACCTTATAAAAAAAAAAAAAGGATGTTCTGACAATCTATTTCTTGAGTTTGGAACCTTCCCACCACTTCCTTAAGAAAATGCATGGACTGAGTCATCTAGGATGCCTCCAGGGGCCCTACCTGATGGTGTAGGCAGAGGTGGAGGAGACCATGAGGGTCCTGACCGTGTCCCGCAGGAGCTGCAACTCCTGCCAAGAGAACAAAACAGATACCACTTCTAACACCCTCATCCCTGGACGGCCCTCCTTTAAGCCCCACATTTCCCCAATAAGAAGTGAGGCTCCTGGGCCTTAGAAACTTGGACCTTCCTCATTAGCGGCAATCGGTGAAAGGGATTTTAAACAGGTACCAAGTGAAAGGAAAGCCAGATTGATGAGCAGGAAGCAACAAAGACCCAACACAGCCAAAAACAAACAAATAAATAAATAAATAAGGAATGCAGTGAAACATCCAACCCAGAATATTCCTAAGAGTGCTGACCTAACTTTGTGGTGGGGGTCAGAAATTTGTGTGAATTTCATGATTGTGACCATGCTAATCTGTTTTCTAGTCCTATGGAAGTGTCTTTGCAGAGTTATGCGTAAAAGGGTTATTTCAGGAGAAAGACAAGAGGAAATTTTATATATATATATATATTTTGTACATATACATAATGTGTATATATGTATTAATGTATATAAACATATACACACACATACATATACACATATAATGTGTGTATATGTTAATGTAATACGCACATACATGTATATGTATGTATAAATACATGTGCATGCGTATGTGTGCACGTGCACACACACAAACACATACACTTTTGTAACAAGAAACCTAGGATGGATAACCAGAAACTATGGGGGCTGAATGGGAACGAAGTGGAAGAGATGGTGAGGAAATGATGTTTCTGTGGCTTACCTTTTGGCATAGTTTTGATTTGGGAACTCCTGTCGACGGTTTACATATTCATAAAGAAAATTAAATCAACAAGGATAGGGGAGAGAACTAAAACCAAATACAAACAGAAGCAAGTGAACCTAACGGTATTTCAAACAAAGAACAGAACCACAAAGAAGACCAAAAAAATAGGAACTAATCTCAGTGACTTCTGAATACAATAATGTGAGATAAATAGATAGATAGATACCCATGCCCTCAGAGAACAAAACAGTCTGCAAACAAATCTTGAACGCTCAGGTTCAGGGGGTGTCAGTACAGCTATAGCAATTCTGAACCTCTCTTAATGTGTTTTGTAGGATCGAACAAGTGAGTACGTCTATAAACGCTGTTGGGAGCCAAGGTTCCCCCTGTGGGGAAGAAAAAGATAAAATAGGGAAGGTTCAGGAATAACCCAGGGGTGATGGATTGGAATGAGAGGCACCGACATGAACTCACAATTTTAAAATATGTGCGTGTGTTTCCTAGCTCCAGAGAAAGGGCCCCAAGGCAGGGACACCCCAGTAGCAGTGAGGACTCCTAGTGCCTGTAATTTGGTTTCTCAGCACCAAGAGAAGAAGCAGGACTCCCCACTAGGAAGAATCAAGACTCCGTGGAGAAATGCTAACTTGAGAGTTAAGGCTGATCAAGTACGAGAAAATCTGGACTATCTTCCTGTGCCAGAAAGTAAGGATTCAAAAAAAAAAAAAAAAAAAAAAAAAACAGATGGGCTTGTCAGAAGGACAGAGAAGCCAGACCCACCAGTCAAATCTGAGACAATGTGAACATCGTAATGAGCACTATGGATTATAACCCAGAGAATAAAGTAAGAATACATGAATGCTTCCTGGTAACCCATAAATATACTTAAGAAGTTCTTCCTTAAGTAAAATGCCATCTTATAAATGAAGTAGAAATGAGAGAGAAGGATCACCATTTGGTAGCCATTACAATAATAATTATTCAGGCAAAAGTCATTAAGGGATGCTAGAACAATTGCGTGAAAATGTATCAGGGAACAGGATATTTACATAGGCTCAAAGAACCTCCCTGGACTCGTCATTACAAAGAGGAAAACTCTATATTGGAGAAACCTGGCTGACCAAGCAATCGAGGTCAACGTTACTAGTTATGGGACAAACTTACATTGTGTGCCTACTGATATAATGCCCGCAAATGACACAATACCACCTCTGTGATATTCCACCAAAAATGCACAACTTGAATCTAATCACGGAAGATCAGATAAATCCACATTGAGGGACGTCACACAGCACAACTGGCCTGGATGCTTCCAAAATGTCAAAGTCATGGAGACAAAGAAGGGCCGAGGGGGACTTCCCTAGTGACGCAGTGGTTAGGAATCTGCCTGCCAATGCAGGGGACACGGGTTTGATCTCTGGTCTGGGAAGATCCCACACGCCGCGGAGCAACTAAGCCAGCAAGCCACAACTACTGAGCCTGTGCTCTAGAGCTCACGAGCCACAACTACTGAGCCCGTGTGCCACACCTACTGAAGACTGCGTGCCTAGAGCCCATGCTCCACAACAAGAGAAGCCATAACAATGAGAAGCCTGCATGCTGCAACGAAGACCCAACGCAGCCCAAAAAAAAAAAAGAAGGGCCGAGGGACTGTTCCTGATGAATGAGGCCAGGACAACCAAATGCAATGTGGGATCCTGGCCCAGAGCCTGTAGCAGATAATTAAATTAGCTGTAAAGGACATTGTTGGAACAATCATGAACTTTAAATATGGACTGCTTAGAATTGTAACAATGTGCAGTGCCCTTGGGTAAGGGCGCTTTGTTTATATAAGAAAATGGTCTTGTGCTTAGGAAATACACACTGAAGTTCTTAGGACCATAATGTCTGCATCGTACTCTCAAATAGTTCGGCAGTTGTGATAATAAATTATTTTCAGGAAAACTAATTACACACACACGGAGACAGACAGAGAGTAAATTTAGCAAATTATCAATCTTGGTGAAGGATATATAGTTCTTTGTACTATTCCTGCACCTTTTCTGCAAATTTGAAATTATTTCAAAGGAAAACTTAAAGAGAGAGGGAGAGAATAAAGGAAGGAAGGGAGGTGAAAGGAGGGAGGGAGGATTCTTCAAAGGACTTCAAAGGTTATTGAGAAACCCATGGAATGTAAATGGTCCTGCCTGCGCCTTGGTTGCCCTGGGTGATAACACTCAAAGTGACATCTCTGCTTTCTGCAAATCTCAATGAGGCTGCTTTCTTTGCTGGGGGTAGCCCGGAACATTCTCAGGTGTCCATTCCCTCCGGACTAAAGTAAACCTATGGCTCTGGGCGATTCCGTACTTGAGGCCCTAGTGTTGGAGAAAGTAGGGTGACTCTTGCATCCTCCCCTGCACTCCAGCTGGGCCAAGGGGTCTTGGGCTTCAGGGCCACTGACCTTCTGCAGCTTGTGGTCCACATTCAGATAGCGGTTCCTCTCGATCTGCAGGAGATCCAGCTCCTCCCGCAAGGTTGCATTCCGAACCAGCTGGTTGTCAAAGCGACAGGTGACCTGGAATGGGGGTGGTGGTGTGGGAGAGGATGCCAAGAGTCTGTCTGAGGCCTGGCCTGCCTCCCTCTTCCATTCTCAGCCGAGAAGGGGGCACTTGTCAGGTAGGGGGCCCATTCCCAATCTGGGGGCTCTGAGAGCATCGCCAACCCCCCCAGGACCCAAGCATCAGTCTCCTTTCCTGGGAGACCCTCCATCCTTCCAGGATCTTGTCTCCTAACCCCACTTAGGGAACCCACTATTTTAGGCCACTCTGCATCCAGGAATCTGGTCCACCGTTTCTAAAACTTGACTCCCATGCTCAGTTCTTCCCCCAAGAGTTCAGGTCGGGAGACAGCCAAGAGGCTGACCCTCACCCTGTCCAACTGGTCTTCAAGGATCTTGACCCTTCGCTGGCTCTTGATCTTCTGATCCAGGATGCATCCCGAGGCCTTGACATCCTTCCCATGGGCAAAGATCCGGCTCTCCCATTCCTGGATCTGGAAGAAAGAACATGGTGCCTATTTGTTGACTGAATGCGGGAGAGATTGAGGGAATGAGGGAGATGAGAGGGAGGGTGAGTGACTGAGCGTGATTGACATCTGCGGTCCTTGTGGCCCCAGCCGTCTGCTGTACCCCTCTTCTGAGGTGAGTACCGAACCTTCAACGTGGATCTGACTTCCAACCATAACGAGCTGCCCTGCTGGCCACATGACCCAGGTCCAAACAATCCACTTAGAGATGGACGTGTGACCCAAGCTGAGCCAGCCTGACTCCTTTCCTGATATTTTGGGAGAAATGTGTGATCTGGATGGATGCGACGCCACACACAGTAGACAAAGTGGAAACAAGAGGCTGAGAATGAGACAGGCTGGGACCTGGGACCCTTTGCTGCAGTGCCTGCACCTGGACAAACGTCTCCTGGAGCAACAAAATACAAAGGAACTATAAGGGACTAAAAATAACTGCGTGCATGTGCAGTTAGGGCAAATTCTGGACAAGAATGTACAAAAAGACCAAAAAAACCCAGCTGCCACTTCTGAAGAGTCAGGAACAAAAAAAGGGGTTCGGGAGCAAAAGCAAGGTACTACGTGTGCCCCCTGCAGTACACCCCCAGAGGGGTGGGCAAAACACCTAAGCCACTCCTCTGGCCCAACCCGTGGACACACCCCTACTGTCACCCCATAGAAGGGACAAGCTCGCCCCACCTCTGGGAGCAAGCAAGGGAACCTGTTACTTGTTTTCGCTCCCTGCTGCTGCAGCAGGGGCCCCAGTAAAGGCCTGTCTGAATTTCTTGTCTGGCCTCTAACCAATTTATTTTATTTTATTTTATTTTTTTGCGGTACGCGGGCCTCTCACTGTTGTGGCCTCTCCTGTTGCGGAGCACAGGCTCCGGACGCGCAGGCTCAGCGGCCATGGCTCACGGGCCCAGCCGCTCCGCGCACGTGGGATCTTCCCGGACCGGGGGCACGAACCCGCGTCCCCTGCATCAGCAGGTGGACTCTCAACCACTGCGCCACCAGGGAAGCCCAATCAATTTCTATTGACTGGGGAAGGCCAAGAATCCCGGTCTATACCAAGAGGAGGGGAAGATAAGCCCTGATGCCTGAAACCAACTTCCAACCTGCCCTTCTCATTCCCGTATTCATCTTGACTTGTTTGGGGTATGCTGTCTTCCCAACTGGACTGGAAACTCCATGAGGGCGGATTCTTATCTTTTCTGTGCTTGACACAGAGTTGGCATGCAACAGAACATGCAGACTAAATGAATGGCTTGATACTGTGTTTCCCGATTTGTGCAGTACCATGGGTTGAACTGAGTCCCCTGTAAATTCGTATGTCGAAGTGCTGATCCCCAGAACCTCAGAATGTGACCTTATTTGGAGACAGGGTTTTTACAGAAGTAATCAAGTTAAAATGAGGTCACTGGGTTGGGCCCTAATTCTACACGACTGGCGTCTTTATAAAAAAGGGGAAATTTGCACAGACATGCCAACAGGGAGAATGCCAGATGAAGGTGAAGGCAGATGCGGAATCTTAAAACTATAACAAACTAGTGAAAATAACAAAAAGAAGCAGACTCACAGATATAGAGAACAAACTAGTGGTTACCAGTGCAGGGGGAGAGGTAATATAGGGGTGGGGAGTTGGGGGCACAAAGGATTGGGTGTGAAATAGGCTATAAGGATGTATTGTACAACAGAGGGGATATAGCCAGTATTTTGTAATAACTGCAAATTGAGTATAACCTTTAAAATTGTATTACAAAATTTTTTAAAGGAAAAAAAAGATGAACGCAGAGATTGGAGTGATGATTCTACACAAAAAGGAAGGCTAAAGATTGCCAGCAAACCAGCAGAAGCTAGACAAGATGCAGAGAACAGATTCTCACAGCCCTTAAAAGGAACCAACCCTGCCAACATCATGATTTTGGACTTCTGGCCTCCAGAACTGTGTGACAATAAATTTCTGTAGTATAAGCCACCCAAAGAAACGAATACATGCGCCAAGGCACCCCAGAGCATTGCAGCAAACTCAGAGGGGCAACCACGGGGATATTTTAAAATTTGAGGGAGACACATTGACATTGGTCAGACACCACATGAACCTGGAGCTCAAGGTAGTTCCCAGGTTCAACGTGAGACGGTGCTACATTCCTTTTGGTGACGTCCCATCTTTCTTTGTTGTTGTTGTTGTTTTGTTTTTTGGGGGTTTTTTTAAACCACGCCACATAGCATATGGGATTTTAGTTCCCCGACCAAGGATTGAACCAGTGCCCCTTGCAGTGGAGGCGCAGAGTTATAACCACTGGACCACCAGGGAAGTCCAATGTCACATCTTTCTTTCTTTTTTTTTTTTAATATTTATTTAGGCTGCCCCGGGTCAGTTTCAGCACGCGGGATCTTCGCTGTGGCGTGTTTCTAGTTGCGAGATGCGGACTCTTAGTTGCAGCATGCGTTGTGGGATCTAGTTCCCGGACCAGGGATCGAACCCAGCCCCCCCCCGCATTGGGAGTGCGGAGTCTTACCCACTGAACCACTAGGAAAGTCCAATGTCACATCTTTCTGAAACTGAGTTTTTAGCAGTTGCTGTAATAAAAATCAAATACCCCAAAACGGTACCATTGGGGGAAACTAAGCAAAGCGTACAAGGACTCTCTCTGCATTATTTCTTCAAACCACAGGTGAATCTACAATTACCCCAGTAAAATTTTCAATTAAAAAAAAAAGCAAGTACTGCACAGAAATCAGTGTGGAATGAGAGTGGTGAGTCCACTCTGACTCCTAGATCTGAAAAGTTGCAAAGTGGCCAATAGGCACAAACGTGCCACGGGTAATTGTGGGTTTTAAGAACGAAACACAATTTTTTTCAATTTATGTATATTATTTTTTCAAATGGTTTCTAGGTTGTTAGGATGCAAACATTTATTGGGTTGTTTGGTCCAAACTGCTATAATAGAGCTGTTAGCAGTGCAATACTGGGGCCCCCTTGGACAGCTCTTGAGAGCTGATTGTTACATTTTCAGGAATTACATGAGTTAAATTGTTGGTAGTTTGAAATTGGCCATTATATCAGTTTTCCGTTTCTGCAGAAAAATTACAGTCGCCCTTCAGTATCCACAGGGGATTAGTTCCAGGACTCCCCTCAGATACCAAAATCCAAAGATGCTCAAGTCCCTTATATAAAATGGCATAGTATTTGCATATAACCTACGCACAACCTCCTGTATACTTTAAATCATGGCTAGATTACTTATAATACCTAATACAATGTAAATATTATGTAAGTAGTTGTAAATACAGTGTAAATGCTATGTAAATAGTTGCTGGCCCCCCAAAATTCAAGTTTAACCTTTTGGAAATTTCTGGAATTTCTTTTTTTTTTTTTAAATATTTTCCATCCTTGGTTTGTTGAATCCACATATACAGAACCCGTAGATATGGAGGACCAACTGTACCACAAACCCTGTGGCTTAAAACAACACCTATTTATTATCTTGAAGATTCCATGGGTCAGGAACGTGACACAGCTCAGCTGGAACCTCTGCTCAGGACTCACAAAGGGGTCACCAGGGCCACGGTCTCATCCAGGACTCACCACGTGGTTGATGGCAGAATTCAGTTCCTTGTGGTTGCAGGACTGAGGCCCTCAGCTCCTAGGAGCCCCCAGAAGTTCCCTGCCATGTGGCCCTCTCCACAGCATGGCAGCTTCTTCAGTCTACTATGGTGCAGTATTAAATAGCATAACCGGGCTTCCCTGGTGGCGCAGTGGTTAAGAATCTGCCTGCCAGTGCAGGGGACACAGGTTCGAGCCCGGGTCCAGGAAGATCCCACATGCCGCGGAGCAACTAAGCCTGTGAGCCACAACTACTGAGCCCGCGTGTCACACCTACTGAAGCCCACGCACCTAGAGCCCGTGCTCCGCAACGAGAAGCCACTGCAGTGAGAAGCCCACGCACCGCAACGAAGAGTAGCTCCCGCTCGCCGCAACTAGAGAAAGCCCGTGTGCAGCAACGAAGACCCAACACAGCCAAAAAAAATAAATAAATAAATAGCATAACCTCATCAAGGGAGGGACAACCCATCACCTGTGCCAAATTCTGCCATCACGAGTTCTGCTGCCACTGAAGGGGAGGGGATTCTATAAGGGTGTGACTCACTGGGGGTCATGATAGGGTATGTTCACCTCAGCCTAGATGAGAACGTTGATGTTATGAAAATCAGAAAATGCTCATTGTAAATCAGCTATACTCTAATATAAAATTTTTTAAAAAAGAAAATGCTACACATCAGGGTGCTTTCCCCCGCTAATTGCTGGTTTCCCAGCACACCCCTGTTAGATGTTTCTTTGGGGGCTAAAAAATTTACTAATTAAGGGCTCCAGGAACAAAGAAAGTTTAGGTGAGATAGGCTGGGACCTGGGACCCTTTACTGGAGTGCTTGTACTTGGACCTGGACAAACGTCTCCTCCAGCAACAGAATACAAAGAAACTGTAAGGGACTAAAAATAACTGCATGCACGTGCAATCAGTGGGGCAATTATGAACAATAAGACAAAAAATGGCCACAAACCAACGGCCACTTCTGAGATGCTGGGAGCAAAAGCAGGGTACAGCTCTTGATGCCCGCACACAGCACCACCAAGGGGGTGGGCAGACCGCCTAAGCTTCGCCTCCTGCCCCACCTACCCATTCACCCTACCCTCACCCCATTTAAGGAACAAGTTCACCCCACCCTTAGGGGAGCAAGCAAGGGAACCTGTTACTTGTTTTCGCTCCCTCATCCCAGACCAGAATTCCTGGTCTGGCCTCTTATCAATTTCTATGGATTAAAGGGTCCAGTCTTGGGAATTCCCTGGCGGTCCAGTGGTTAGGACTCGGTACTTTCACTGCCGTGGCCTGGGTTCAATCTTTGGTCGGGGAACTAAGATCCCTCAAGCCGCGTGGCACGGCTTAAACAAAAAAGCAAACAGATAATATGCATTTCAAAAAATAAATAAA